ATCGTGCATGCAGTAGTTGTCTATGCAGAAGTTCATAAACCATCACTGGGCCTACCTCCCAGCACCCTCCCTCTGAGAAACATCACTCCTTCCCAAAGGTTCATTCTCCTAACTTTGACCGTGCTACACTACCCTCAAGTACAAACAGAAAAGACTTCCTTCCTTTATATTCTCCCCCACTGCTCAGAAGCATTCCACTTAAAGGAAGAAATGACTTTGTGTCTTGTGGGTCCTTAAGATGTGGTGGCCAGAGTCCTGGGCTAGGAGTCAGACCACCAGACCCCACCCTGGTTCTATCACCAGTTCACCACTTCTCCTCTCTGGCCTTAGCCTCATCTATATAATGAGGAGTTGGATGAGTTTCTCTTTATGAGCCCTGCTCTAATGTTTCCCTGCTCTGCTCTACTGATTGCTACCAAGGCTGGGAGATGCCAACGTCTGCAAGCCAACATTTCTCCAAACACTCCCAGAAACAGCAGACAACCTCCAGCATCCCAAGCAGGCTGGTGCCAAAAGTGTGAGCACAGCCAACTGCCTGCACTCAGAGCTGGAAGCTAGAAATCAGGCAAATACGCAGGGCCAGGGAGGGCTCTAGCAGAGTGCAGGATGCTCCTGCCAGGGTATCCTGTTTCCATCCAAAGCTTTTCCTACAGAGATGCTCTTACTCATAGGATAAGGATAGACAAAGCCTCTAAAGGAATCAGAAACATGTGAACCAGGCCAGGGCAGGAAGTAGAGTTAAAGGTTATTTATTTTTCGGGGGATGCCGAGGCCGGTGGATCACAAGGTCAAGAGATCAAGACCTTCCTGGCCAGTATGGTGAAACCCCATCTCTACTAAAAATACAAAAATTATCTGGGCATGGTGGCACGTATCTGTAGTCCCAGCTACTCAGGAGGCTGAAGCAGGAGAAAAGCTTGAACCCTGGAGGCAGAGGTTGCAGGAGGGTAGGAAATAAGGAATCACTCTTCATTATCTGCTGCTTATGTTAAATTACTTTACATCATCCTGCATGCAGTAGTTGTCTATGCTGAAGTTCACGAAACCATCACTGGGCCTACCTACTAGCACCCTCCCCCTGAGATCTCACCACCGCACTCCAACCTGGCGACAGAGTGAAACTCTATCTCAAAAAATATATATATATATATTTATATTTATATACTATTTTAGTTAAGGTCTAATAAACAGGAAAATGCCCATATGCATGTATGTCTTCATATAAATACTCATAAAATGAACACATCTGTGAAACAGACACCCAGATCAAGAAACAGAATACAGCACCCTTTTGTGAATCCCTTTTGTGCCCCCTTCCAGTCACTAGTCCCTGAAGGATAACCACCATTCAGACTTCTGGCACCATTGATTCCTTTTGCCCATTTTGAACTTTCACAAATGGAAAAAAGCAGCACAGACCCTTCTGAGTTTGCCTTCCTTTGCTCAACATTACGTGTCTGAGCTTTATCCATTGTTACATGTAACAAATTGTTGTACATTTTCATTTTTGCATAGTTAGGACTTAATGAAGAGCTAAAATCAATGAGAGGGCCCTGAGTCTACACTAGGGTGCTCACTGACAGCCAAGTAAGGAGGTTTACATTGAGCTCCCCAGACATCAGGATGATCCCCCTGCTCTTCTTCCTGCAGAGTCCCACGCCTTCCTCCTAGAAGGCTGCAGAGGCAGAAGATGGGGCCTTGACACTCCAAACCTACTTCAAAGGCTCGATCTGGTCACTGTTGAAAGCCAGAAGCTCTTGTTCATGAACACTTACCCCATGCCCAGCTCTGAGAGGGATTCCCGACTCGGCATCTCATTTCATCCCCATGACCATGAGCTAGGTGATGGTATTCTTTCTGTCTCACAGCTAAAAAAGCTGAGGCTCAGAGAGGGCAGATTGTCCTAATGTTGCACAGCTAGGTCAGGGACCCAAACCCCAACCCATGTGACCACAAAGGCCAAACCTCTCCACCACTCTGTGTTGGCAGGGAATTCACCAACTGGATCTGGTCCCCATGCCACCAGCCTCATGTAACACTGCTTGCCCCTGGCCCACTTTCCAAGGCCATACCAGCCTCCTGCCGGCTCCCCAGGTCCCAGGCACTTTCCCACTTCAGGGCTCATCCATGCTGCTGACTTGTCTTGTGCATTTACCCCTCAGTTCTCAAATGAGCAGTCACTTCCTCAGAGCAATCTTCTCTAACCACCCAGTTGGAACTACATCCCCCATCATTCCCTTGCAGGGCATCTTTTTCTCTCTTTTCTTAGCCCTTAACACACCTTATGGTGATTTATCCCTTAGCATCCACTTGTCTAGTGCCTTTCTCCATGAGCCTGGGGAGCATAAACTGCCAGAGGACAGGACTGTGTCTGTTTTGTTTTCCACTGCTGGGATGGTGCGTGGCACACAGTAGGTCCCCAAGAATATGTTAAGTGAAGACCAGGAGGGCAGGAGAGAAGAATAGGACTGTCCCTTCAGAAGCTGAGTGGTCATCCAAAGGCAGCTAGTTCTAGCCTGTTCTGTGGCCCCAGGCAAGACCCTTCCCCTCTCTGAGCCTCTATTTCTTCAACTGTCAAGTGAGAGGCCTGAAAGACAGGACCTCTAAAGGCCTTCTAGGTCATCTGACCTCTAGACCACAAATCCTAGGACATCTGGCCACTCCAAAGGCCGCTGGCCCTTAGTCCCTGGGCCTCGTCTGCTGCTTACTCACCTTTTGCCCCATTAGCACTTTAGAAGAATAGGGGAGGTGAGAATCACCCCAAGACATCCCAGACTATGAGACGCATGGGATCTCCACACCCTGTTGCAGGTAGAGGACCAGAAAACATGAGGTCTCTTCTGGGTCTAATAGCACATGTCCTTGATATATGGAGTCAGGGAGAGACAAGACTAAGAAGGAATCGTAAATGCAATCCCCAGGAAGCTGCTTCTACTTCCTTCTTCAGAGTCCCACTCCCCACAACTTCTCAGTTTCTCTGCCCACCCAGACTCTAGTCCAATCCAAGAGTGCCCTTGTTAGCATGTGTGCAGCTGACTCGCTGCCAGGGTGGAGCTCCAGGAGGGCAGAGACTGTCTGATCTTGCTCGTCTTGGTACCCACAGTACTCAGCACAGACCCCTACACGCAGGGCATGGCCAAGTGAGGGCACTGAATCGAGCACCATTGGCAGGGCTGGCCGTGGTTTGTTGCTGAGAATGCCACCTTTCTGCTGGTGCCACCAAGGGCAGGAGAAGAACCTGAGGCAAAGAGAACCTGGCTTCCCACAAGGCAGGCTCCAGTGACCAAACCCAGCCTCTAGTCCTATGTTCTCTTCCTATCCCTTCACCAGGCCCGAGACTGGGAGAAGTCATCCCCCTCTGGGTTCTCTGCAGTTATTTGCTCCCCCACGCACCATCCTGCCAGCCAGGATGAACTCCCTGATCTTGAAGCACCTGCTGTCTCTCATTCTCTTTGGAGTGAAGCTCTTCTGACTTTGAAGCCCTGTTTTATCTTTGAAAGTTAAAAAAAAAAGCAAGACAATTAGTCCTGACCTAGGAGTTCTATAAAGCGAAAAGAACTCCTGTTTTGCCTGTTGGATACAGTAGACACTTGCGAAAGGAAACTAAATCTTGGGGGCCCCACGTCCCTAAGCTAAAGAGAAAAGTCAAGCTGGGAACTGCTTAGGGCAAACTTGCCTCCTGTTCTATTCAAAGTCACCCCTCTGCTAACTGAGATAAATGCATATCTGATTGCCTCCTTTAGAAAGGCTGACCAGAAACTCAAACGAATGCAACCATCTGTCTCTTATCTACCTATGACCTGGAAGCCCCCTCCCCATTAGAGTCTTCCCTTTAGAGTTGGAGTTGTCCTGCCCTTCCAGACCAAACCAATGTTCATCTTGCATATGTGATTGATGTCTCATGTCTCCCTAGAAGGTATAAAACCAAACTGTGCTGTGACAACCTTGGGCACAGGTCGTCAGGACCTCCTGAGGCTGTCATGGGCGTGCGTCCTCAACCTTGACGAAATAAACTTTCTAAATGAACTGAGACCCGTCTCAGGTTTTCCAGGTCTACACACTCTAAATTCCCATGTTTTCATGCTGCACTGTGTGTGAAGGGGTGAGGTTAGGTGCTCTGATGAGCATGTGTGAGTGTACAAATGCCAAGCTCATGGGAGAAGGCATAATAGGTGTGCAGGTACAAAATGGACTAGTCAGAACCTTGGCTATGTCACTCACTGGCTCAGCAACTTTGGGCAACTTGCCCAAATGCTCACCACAGTTTCCTCATCTGGAAAATGAGAGTAAAAATAATGCCTATTTCATGCACTGTTGTGAGACTCAAACTTCAGGACTGGTGTTTTGTAATCACTACACTACCACTTAAATCTTAGCAGCTGGTAGAAATGGAAGGCAAGAAAAGAGCTTCAGAAAACCTTAATTTCTATCCCAATAGTAACTATAGTACTATCAGATCTGATTTTCACCCTGGCTGTGTTCTGGGCTCAGCAAACCTGAAAATGCACCAAGTAACAAAGATCCCAGGAAAACTTCATGACAGGGCCCGTGTGGCTGGTTACTCAACATAAATCCATTCTCAGGAGGACTACCTCACCTCCCATCCAGGTTCGGAGCTTAAAACAAAACCCTGGGAACCATGGAGAATCCCAAGTGAGACTCAGAAGAAAACCAACAAGTCAGGTCTCTATCCAGAGCCTGGGGGAACTTCATGAAAAAAGTAACAGATCAAACAAGAATCATGAAGGTTTTCCCTGCCAGCTAGATTATGCTGAAAACACAGAACTCAACAATTCTCATCCCTTTTACCGGCAAGTCATTATTTTCAGAGCAATGACTATGTGCAAAGTCACCCAGGCAGGTAAATAATCCTCAGGTTCATTTTTAAAGCTTCCCACTGGTCCTGTGGCCCTGCCTTCCAACACCAACTGACAATTGTGCTAGAAGCAGCATGACTTTGGCTCCCTCAGCATCCCCCGACCTCTTACACAGTCTCCTACCTCCCCAGCTCCTCTCCGATGTCATAAAAGTCCTCCACCTTCTGCTGCTTGAATGGCTCCATGTTTGGGCTCCTCATTGAGGTCTCGAACATACAACCCTGAAATGAGAAGAAACCTGTGGTTAGGACAGCCATCCAAATTAGCACAAGCCTAAGAGTCTAAGGCCTAAACATAATTGGCTGCAAGGGAGCTAACAATTTAGTAATAATCCACAGCCTTGGCTCCTCAAGAACTGCCCTGCTCAAGCCTTTTCTCACTTGCAGCTGATGATGTATGGTTCTTATTTAATTTACATGAATTCAAATTTGTTAAGGAGACAGGAAAGGAGAGCTCCTCAGGTCTTCAGATCTGTTTGAAGAAGTTCAGAAAAACATCCATGGTGAACTTCAGCTATTTGTTTTCATCAAATTCAAAACTACTGCAAAAAGAGGCAGCTATTGTACAGTTTAAAAAAAAAAAAATGGCCAGGCGTGGTGCTCACACCTGTAATCCCAGCACCTTGGGAGGCCGAGGTGGGTGGAGCACTTGAGGTCGGGTGGAGCACTTGAGGTCAGGAGTTCGAGACCAGCCTGGTCAACATGGTGACACTCCATCTCAGTATTTTGGGCCGAGGTGGGTGGAGCACTTGAGGTCGGGTGGAGCACTTGAGGTCAGGAGTTCGAGACCAGCCTGGTCAACATGGTGACACTCCATCTCTACCAAAAATACAAAAATTAGTCGGGTATGGTGGCACGCACCTGTAATCCCAGCTACTCGGGAGGAGGCTGAGGCATGAGAATCACTTGAACCCGGGAGGCAGAGGTTGCAGTGAGCCGAGATCGTGCCACTGCACTCCAGCCTGGGCAACAGAAAAAATAAAAAAGCACTAGCTTTAAAGTCAGAAGTCCTAGATACAAGTTCCAGTCTTGCTTGGGTAAGCCACCTAAGCTGCCAAAGACTTAGCTTCTTCATCTGTAAAATGGGGCTAATACTGTAAAATCAACTTCAAGTCATGAGATTATTTTGTAAACTAGAAAATGCTGTTAAAAGGTGAGATCACTATCATGATCTCAGCTCCCTCAGGGGTTGTACCATCCAACTGCGTGTCTGAACTAATCTGTAAACTCTCTCACTCATCACCCCCGAAAGAAAGATGGGCAGGAGGAGCAAGGCAAATTCCAAAAGGTGCCAGGAGTCAGGAGCCTGAGGTGCTAGTTCCAACTCTGCCTGCAACTAGCCCTGTGATCTCCTCTCTTGTCAGAAGGGCCTCAGTGTCCTCATCTGTAAAATCGAGCCAACTCTGCCTGCCCCAAGCATCTCATTGAAAGCCAGAGGCCAACTCTGAGCCATGGGGAGCACTTACCACTCCACCAGAAAAGACTGTCTGCATCCTCTCCTGGGATCCCTCTGCCCCAAGGGGCTTACCCATTCCTGGGACAGCCACGTGCCACTCTGGACAACACCCCAAGAGCAGGGCCCAGGGCACAGTCTGCAAATCGCAAGAATAAAACCAGCTGCCTGTGGATGTGTCTTCCAAGGGTCTTCAGCAAAGGCCTCTCGGAGCTCATTTTGGTTAGCACTGGCAGCTTTTCTGCTGACCGCCAATCAGATCCCAACCACATGTGAGCTCCATGAACCCCAAAAGACTATTTTCACCAGGCTAGGTGGAGGAACCATTCCATAAGGGCACATCTCATCAACGCCAAGTGGCTGGAGCTGTCCTAACTCTCAGAGGGTATATAAATTTCACCCTCTTTCCACCACTTTAGCCCCCTGCAAACCAGAGCTTCGTTATCAAGATGCCATCTGCCTCTCTCCCTTCCACCGAGGCACACAGAACCTGAAGACCCTCAGGAGGAGCTGGCCTGGCTCACAGGGCTTACTCTCGGGGTCACCTGCCTGTGGGTGCTCAGGCTCCCTCATGCATCCTCCATGCTTGGCCAGGACCGGGGTAAGCATGAAAAGAGCAGGCTCCAGGAGCCCCAGTTCCAGACTAGCGTGAGTGTATATTAGCCTTGTGATCCACAGCAGGTGGGCACCCTCTCTGGGACTCATCCCCTCACCTGTAAACAGAGTGATACTATCTATATCACATACTTCACACATCCATGTGGGGATGAGGATATAAACTACTGTACAAATAAGAAAGATGATTATTGCTGTGATTTAACCCATGTCAGGGAGCCCTCTAGCAAGTTTGGCTTGACCATAATCAGAAGTTTGGCACCCCCTCACCCCCAACATCCTGGCAAATCTCCCGAGATTGGCCCAGGGAGTACTATCTACCATCTTATTTTTGCTGAAAAAACAATTTTTCCTTCCAAATAAACAATTTGGGTCAGGTCCTGTGGGGTGGGGTTACCAATTTCACACAGCTAGATGGAAGCAGGAAACTCCAAAAAAATTCTGTTGGCAGAAACCCTGAGAGTGGTCCCAGGAACAGCTAAAATCTCCCATTTGGTGAGAGGCCAGCTCCATTTGCTGAGAGCAGGATTCAAAGAAGCCCCAGTTCCCAGGAAAATGGTGAGCCTCTGCCTTGGGTTCTACATCTTGGGTGGCCAGGAGTAGGGGGGCAGGTGAGCCCCCTAGGGACAAACTAGGTCCACCAATTAGGCTTAGGTCATCTTTCTAGCCTTTGCCTCCTCCCTTACATATCCTATATTCCAGTCAAAGTTGACCTTTCCCATGCCCTTAAAACTTTCATCCCTGCTATGTCTTGGCTAAAGTGGGGCCCTTGCCAGGGCAGACCCAGCTGGAAAGCCCTGGAGAGTGGGCAAAACTGCCCACTTCCCAAAAGACCCAGCCAAATGCTACCATCTCTGAGTGGCTCCATGATCCTTGCCCTCCCAAAAACAGATGACAATTCTCTAACCTCTTCAAGTTCCCCAAGAGTGCTCTTCATACATTTTTAGGGCTCGAGTTGATCACATTCTGGCCATGTTTATGTCTAACCCAGAGAGTGAGAATAGATTCCATAGTCATCACACAGACCAGGGTTCAAATCCCAGCTCCGTCACTTACGCTCCGTCACTTACTGGCACATTGTGCTTAGCTGAGCACAGGATACCTTTTCTGAGTTTCACATGCCTTCCATGGAAAGTGAACGTAAGACAATGTCTAGTGTTGGTGAGTACGTGCGGCAACTAGAGCTCTCAAACACTGCTGGGAGGGGTATACACTGGGGCCACCACTTTGGAAAACTGTTTGGCAATTTCTTTGGACATATCTAAGAGAAATGAATGCAGATGTTTTCCCAAACGATCCACGTTAGAATGGTCACCGCAATACAATTAGTAATAACTAAAAATTGGAAACCACCAAACGGTTATTAATAGAAGACTGGATAAACAAATTGAGATACTATATACCCATAAAATGGAATCATTATCCAGCAATGAGATTAACAAACTACTGCTACCTGCAACAACATGGACGAATCTCAGAAACATATTGTTAAATGGAAGTAGCCAGACACAAAAGACGCATACTGTGTGATCCCATTTAGGGAAAATTGATGCATGGTGCTAGACGTCAGAAGAGTGTTTATCCCCTCACTCAGGATAGTTGGAAGGGGAGCTTCTGAGGCTTCAGAGTGCTGGCAGTGTTGTCTCCTGATCTGCGTGGTAGTTAGACGGATATACGGGATGTAGGTTTATTTTGTATGTGGTCAAAATTTTACATAATTGCAAAAAATGAAACTAATATGAAACAAATGAGATAACTCATGTGTAATTTTTTAAATGGTCCCCGGATAACGTGAATTCCTTCCCTCCTCTTGCCCCATAAGGGCAAGAATTGTGACATTCTCACCTCCGTCCCCTTGTAGTAGGCTAGTATACAGCAGGCACTATATAAGTGTTGGCTGATTTTAACTTAGCTCCCCAGCCTCCTTTCTCAAGGCCGCTGCTCAGATGCTCATCAGGTAAAACAACCGATAGCCACTTCAAGCACTTTCCTAACACCACTCCTAAGGAGAATTTGCATTTTACCAGTTTAGAAACAAACTAAAGGGGTGAAACTGAGGTGGAATTATTGTCACCAGCTATGACCCAGATAAGGACCCAGAGGCACAAGGACCTTTCCAGCCTCGAAAAGCTGAAATCACATGGCAGAGGGGAGGGACACAGTTACAGCTTTTGGCCAGAGGCACAGGCCATCAGCTCCAGACGCTCCCAGGATGATACCCACCTTAATGCCCACATTTCTCCTGATGGAGTCCTTGGAATTCAAATTCCTGCCTACAACTCTAATACTAGGCAACACTTCAGGGGGCTACCACAGATTTCCTAGAACCCCACAGAAAGGGATCCCACAGATCATCTATTTAGGGATTTTTAGACCTGCTTCAGGATCACCAGGGTGAGAAAGGGAAGCCAGAGCAGTTCCATGTTATCCATACTACATGTTGGGGTTCTGGGTAAGAATTCACTGTGAAACAGAAGTTTGAAAACCACTGCTGTCTGGTCTAACCCACTTGTTTTTACAAGAGGAAGCTGAGATCCAGACAGGGAAGAGACTCGCTGAACATCACATGTGTGACCCATCCTACTCCTCTTCCCAGGGTTTCTTCTGTTGATTGCCACCCTAACTCCTCCAAGATGGCACCAGGGTTGGCAAAGTCAATGGCCTCCTGAGGGACAAGCTAGGAGGAGGTGTCTAGGGCTGGAAGATCACCTCATCACCTCATAGGAAACTCTCAACACTCACGAAGCCCTCTCCCCCACTGGCCCAGCTCACTCTGCAAAGTGAACTCTCTCAGTTCCTCACCCCACCTCACCAAGTGCAAGTGAGTGAAATGGGACCACAGCAAGAGGGCAGGCAATGGTTGGGCCAAACACACACGATTGTCTCACTACACACAACCCCATTAGGAATCAGCATACTCAGGCTCTGGAGAGGCTGCCAACAGAAGGGATGGGGCGCTGGCATTACAGAGCTCCTCTCTACATTCCAGGCTTTGACCCATCATGGTCTCTGATGAGGAAGCTGGGGCCCACAGAAGGTCAGCCACCTGCCTGAGTTGACCCAAGAGAAACTTGGTCTCTCTGGCAAAGATCCAGCTCCCTTGGGAAGCCTGCTTGTTCACCCCACAGCTAACAAATCAGGAGGCCTCAGGGAGGTGGGCAGGGTGGGTGCGGGTCTCATTCCTGCCAGCCAGGAACTTACCCCAGAGAAGCAGACCTCCAGCCACATCCACACACCCCTAACTCCTCTGCCCAAGTCTCCTCAGAAGCTGTTGAATCATCAGTGGTGCCACTTGAGGTGCTCAAAAAACATCTTGGGAGATGAGTGGTTTGGGGAAGGACAGGGCTCTGAAGTTAGCTGTGAAGAGGCCAAGGCGCCAGGGCCTCTTAGGTCAACAGGACTCTCCCAGGAATACCTTCCACAAAGGCAGTTGAGAAACGCAGTTTCAGAAACCAGAGCAGCTGCCCTCCAGTGGACTCCGGTGTATAAGACGTCAGGCACTGTCCCTGCATCTGCCCCCGAGGCAGTCAGCTATGGTGCCCTCTCCTCCAGTGTGCACCCCTACCTTACCATTACCTGCACGGCTTCAACGAAGCTCACCTCTCTGGGCCTCGTTTTCTCTTTTGTAAAGTAACAATACCAGTTTCCACCGTGCAGAGTTATAGTGAGGGTTAGCCAGACCTATGCAGGCCTTGGGACCTCCACAATGCCTGGCCCAGAGTCCTAGACAACTGTTAGCAACGCCCTTCCAAGCCCTTCCACCCCAACCTGCAGCAGGCGTGCTGGCTGCCCCTCGCCCACCCTAGCTCTGCCCCAGGCCGGGGCGCCTGACGGCGGGGACCACAGCTTCATTCGGCCCCACAGGAGGCTCAGACATCTGAGCACCCTCCTCGCATCACCTCCTTGTGCCAGGCGGGAGCAGGAGGTGAGAGAGTCGGCCCAAGCTGAAAAGACTTGGCCAGGAGCTGGGCGTGCTCTGCCCGTTCCAGGGGCCCTAACTCGATGGACGTCTGTGCCCCATCTCCCTGCTGGGTGCTTGACTCTGCCCACCGCCCCCATCCTGTCTCCCAGGTCAAAGTGCCAGGCTCCGGAGGGCGCCCCAGGGCAGCAGCGGGCAGCTCCAGCGCTCAGGTGGCGGCCACAATGCCCCGGGCCACGGCGTTAGGCACTGGGGCGTCGGGCCCGGGATCTGCGAGCGAGTGCCCGGATCTCTTGGCCCCGCCAGCCCCAGCCCCGGGCGCTGCTGCTGTCAGGCCGCGCGCCCCGTCCTGCCCGTCGAGCCCGCAGACAGGTGCTACTCACGGCAGGAGGCTGAGCTGCGGCGACCGCGGCGGGCACGGCGGGCACTGGGGACACGGCGGGGTGAGCTGGGCTCGGCCCTGCAGTCCTCTCCTCCCAGAGCGCCCGGCGCCCGCCCGCCGAGCAGCCGAGGAGCCGAGGGGGCGGAGCGGCCAGCCCCGTCCCAGGCGCCGGCTGGAGGCGCGCCCGACTGCGCGGGACGGGGCTCTGGGCGCCCCCTGCTGGAGCCCCCTCCGGACAACCCCGGGGCGAGAGCCCAGCTTCCCGGCCAGGTAGGGGACGCTCCAGGGCTCCCAGGCTCCCGGGAGAGCCGGGAGAGTCGGTAGCAAAACCCTCTGCGCGTCCCCACCGGCTCTGCAGCGCACATGCTACGTGGCCTTGGGCAAGTTGGCTACCCTCCCCTGGCCTTATCTGGAAATCGATTTGAATGAGCTTATATGTGTGATATGGTCTGGCACAATCCTCAGAAAAGGGCAATTGCGTGCCTCTCTCCCCACCATACACACCGTGAGCGAGGAAACCCCACTGAGGAATAGGCCGCCTCCTCCCTCCCAGCCAGCTCTGCTCCCTACACCGCAGACTCTCCTGGAAACCTCACGCCCACAGCGCACGGCAAGGTGGGGGCTGCGATGAGAAGGGCCGCTCTGCTCCTCACTGCCCCCGACCCAGCCTGGGAGCGGCCTGCCCTAGTTTGCCCTTTGTCCTAGCATGGTTGGTGAGTGAAGCCTCCATCTCGCCATCACGCCTTCTCTAATAGAGGACTTGGGAGGGGTTCCTCCTCTCTGCCCTCTGCCAAAAAATCCCGAAGAAAAAAAGGAATGAGAGTGGAGTGGGTGAAGGGAGGAAGGAAGGGAAAATAGAACTTAAGCCAAGTTCATTAGTCTTATTTCAAAACAAGAGGCTGTTTAGAGGAAGCAAATGAGGACCCCCCCAACCCCCTGGAATTTCCATCCCTAAGTCACCCACGGGGCTCCTCAAAAGGGCCTTAGATTCAGTCCTACCACCAGGTTCAAAGCCCTGCCCTGCCACTCCGTATGTATGTTCTTGGGCATGGCTCTTTCTTCATCAGTAAAGTGGGAGAAACGCTCCTTCCGGTAGCTCCTAATGAAGCTATGGTGGGGTTGAGATGAGATGGAGTGTGTAAGATGCACCTAGAGGACCTCTATCAGTGTGAGCACACACACACCTTCAGCCTTTTGGACACTGGGACAAATACAGATGGACCCCGCCCTCCAGCTGAGCAGTGCCTTGTTTACAAACTTCACAATAATCCAGAACAGTGCAGTCAGCAAGCCTCCTCTCCTAAGAGCACCATGATATATAGAGTAATATCCAAGACCAGAGGTGGCTTCTGATGTCGATGGACCTAGGGGAAGGACACCCACTGGTGAAGTTTCACCAACATGGGGAGTCCCCCACCAAACTATCCCTAAACACCTATTCCTCCATTTCCATTTATCTGTCACGGTTGACAAACCATTACCAGCCTTGGTGGCACAGGACAACAATTTCATTATGTTCATGCATTCTGAGGGACAGAAGTTCAGACAGCACAGTGTGTATGGCTTATTTCTGCTGTGCAGTGTCTGGGATTTCAACTGGGAACACCTGAATAGCTGGGGGCTGAAATCATCTGGAGGCGTCTCCGTTCCCATACCCACCTGGGCTGTGATGAATCCAAGCCCGGGCTCAGCTGACCCTGCTGATCACCTACATGTGGCCTCTTCATCTCTTTCCCTTGAGCCTCATGCTTCATACCTCATTTTCAGCAGCAGCAGCCCCTTGCATGAGTCAAAAGAAACATTCTTGGATTTAGCAATTGACAAAGTTAGTCAGAGTCCATTGCAGCTGGGAGGGTCATTGTCAATTGACCCATCCAGCCTGGCCACTTTTCAAATGAGGAAACTGAGGCTGGGAGAAGGGAAGTGACTTGCCCAACATCACACAGCTGATGAGAGACAGAGCTAGGATTAGAACGAGGCCTCCTCCAGATTCTGTCTGGTGCCCCTTCCACTGTACCTGTCAAAATGCAATTACCTAGGAAGGTACCATCTGGAGATGTATCTTATGCTTGAGGTTGGGGGAATTCATCAGACCCTTACCTGAGGACAGCGACAGGGCACTGAACATAGGACCAAGGTGGACATCAGCAGCAAAAGGGAGGCCCCAAGGACAGTGGCAATGAAGACACAAACTCCAGAATGAAGCCAGAGGCAGTCCAGGTATTAAGAACTAAGAATTATCCAACCCAGCTCCAGTTCCTGCATGGTTCCCACGGCTGACCAAATCGAGTGTAAATGCCTCACCCTAGCATTTAAGGCTCCAACCCTGATTTTCCTGCCGTGTATGCACCTTCTCTTCCCTCCTCTGCTTGCACATCCAGCTCTTTTGCCAGGTTGGATTATTGGCTGTTCCTGCCTCCATGCTTTTGTTTATTTCCACTACCACTCATCCCATTCTACAGAATCTTATCTATCCTCTAAGGGCCTTCTAAAGTATCATGTCTTCCACAGAAACTTCCCTGGTCTGCCCTCTAAATACCTCTCTCCTTTGAACCCCACCACTCTTGGTTGGTAACCCTCTTGTCATCTTCCTTCCTCTATTTCAATTACTGTCTACTTCTCTTTTTCTCAAGGGCAAGTACAATTTCTTGTCCATCTTTGAACCCATATAGTGCTTGATATCCCAAACCCAGTAAAGGTTTCTTAAACTGAATTAAGGAAGGTAAATATCACAAGATAAGGAGCCACAGCTGTCTTGTTTTCTATTGTGCCCTAAGAGCACCCAAGCACCTGGCACTTAGTAGATGCTCAATAATCTTACTTCAAGCGCTTCCCTTCTAGGGGGATGTCATTATCCTCTTTTACAGATGATGTAACTGAGGCTTGGGAAAGTTGATTGGCCCAAACTTATCCAATTTATAAGTGACTGTGCTGTGACGTGAATCTTGCCTACTGGTCTCCAAAGCTGTTCCCTCTGCTGCCTTCCCTCAACTGAAACTTCCAAGGTTTCTAAAACAGTGTTAATATGGGACTTTTCAGCCCAGGCAGTACATCAGAGTAACTGTGAATAACATGGGGTGTTTAAAATCCCCCATGCTCAGACTGTACCCTACATCAATTACATCAGAACCTCTGAGGATGGGTTCTGGATATTAGTTTTTGTTAAACTCCCCACGTGATTCCCGGTGCACAGGTTGAGACCCAGGTCCAGTCTGTCCATGTCACAGAGACCTGGGGAAATTCTCAACCCCTCAATGGCAAACGCATCTGAGTACCTGCTTTGTACAAGACATTCCAAGGGACTGTGAGATGGTAGAGTCACAGGAACTGTGCTTCCCAGGAATGAGAATACAAGCCTATAGATAAAGATGTAACCATGGTAGGCAGCAAAGGGCACTAGTCATGGTGAGATCCTAAAGCATACTTTGGTGACTGGCACGTTTACAGAGCCTAAAAACCTCCTGACAAGGGGGCAAAGTGGGAATTAAGATGCTGCATGTGTTGGCCATGGCAGATGGCACCTGGGCTGGCTTACAGCATGTGTAGTGTGAGGGCTAAATGCAGAGACTCTGACGCCAGACTGCCTGGGTCCACACTCAGGCATCACAGTATGTAGCTTACGTACCATGTGGTCTGGGGCAGGCTACTTGATCTCTCTGTGCCTCATTATCCCCACAGGTCAAATGGAGCTTATAGTAGCATTTATCTCTTGGGCTGTTGTGAGCGTGCAGTTACTTTTCAATTAGATCAGTGTCTGGCACTTGGTAAAGTGCTCAATGATTGTTAACTGTTATTATTATTCCCTAAATGTCTGGCAGTAAGCTCCCCTGGGGGAGGAAATGGATCTTATTCATCTCTGCGTCCCATCCCACCCCTAGCCGGGCCCAGAGAATTGCCAAATGCAGTCTGAAATGCAGTCTTCTTGACAACGGGTCCAGCCCTGACTCTCAGGCTCTCCGCCAAGGGAGTGCACAGGCGATTCCTCCCCAGCGGGCTTGCCTACTGGGTGGAAGGCCGGCAGGAAGCTTCTTCCTCCCAAACTGACCTGGTGGCCTGGCTTCTCAGCCCTTCCCAGCCATGCCCACTCTGCCCTGTGCCATCTGCCCTCCTAGATGGGAGGTGTGGAGCAGGCTTGGCTTGGCAACCCTTCCTGCTTCCCCCCTACCCCTGGGCCCACTGGTTCTCGCAGCCAGAGGCAGCTGCTTCAGCCTCCAGCCTTGCTGGACTCAGCACCACAGGGATGGGGCAGGGAAGGGGAGGAGAGAAGAGAGGAAGGAGGTGGGGGATGGAAGGCCTTGCCTCTCTCTAGAGAATCTGGAGGATGGGGATTTCCTGGACATGTGTACACACTCATTCACTCTGCAAACATTCAATAGGACCTCCTGGGGTTACGTGCTGGAGCAGGGGCAAATAAAGACCCAATGCCATGAAAGGTCAGATCTACTCCAGAAGGAGCCTCCAGAGAAAAGGGAGGCTTGAGTCAAGCTTGAAAGAAGAGTAGGGATCACCCGGAGGACCAGAAAAGTCCATAGTGGGGCAAGGGAGGCAGGGCACATGGGGTGTCAGCAGCTGTGCAGGTAAAGGGCTGCGGGTATGAAACCACTTGTCATTTACCGCCCCTATTTCCACCTAAGCCACCACAGGGCCACACTGTGGGATCATGACCCATGCATATGCCATTGCCTTCTATTTGGGACAGAGGCTGGTGACATATTGTGTGGCCAGGACCTCTCAAACTATGCCCACCTTTAGGGCTACACAGTCCAACCACCTACTTCTTTAGGCTCAGAAATCAGACAGGCCTATTTGTATTCCTGCTCATCCACTTTCTGAGCCTCCGTTATCTCATCAATAAAATGGGAATAATTACATCTTTTTCTCAGGGCTGATGTGAGGACCAGACTCACAAATACTGTGGCAGATGTTTGAGAGAGCACTGGCTTAGCCCATAGGAAAGGTTTGAGAGAGAGAGAGAGAGAGAGAACTGGCACAAATGTCAACCTCCCTCCCAAACCAGATCCTTCTGTCCCTCAAGACAAGTCGGTCACGTGTGCC